ACATCACACTATCATTCGCGCTCTTTACAAAACTTTTTCGTTCAAATCTATTTCTCTGTCATTGTTCCCATCTTCATTAAAAGGCGTAAGATGACAAAAACAAGATCTTGAAGAATTTCTAAATAATGCGCCTTGGTTATGGTAGGTAATTCGAAGAAAAAATAAAGTGTTGCTCTTTGTTATTTGTAGAAGGTTTAAGAGAAAGACCACAACATAATGAACTAATTTATTATAATAACTGAAACTCTGACTTCACTTTTTTAAAAAATTAAATGGTCTTTCTTTTTACTCCCAATCAGCAATCAAATATCTTTTCTTGAATTATGAATAACACGAATGGATTGAAATATTTAATTAAATTATCTCAAAATAAACCTTCATTTCCGTGCAATATTGAAATTAGCTTGAATTCTTCATAACCTCTGAATAGTGGGTGACCCAACGGGTCACAAGTGGTCTAGTATATATATACAAGTATATCACTACTTTTAGTTTTTCTATAAAGTTAAAATGAACAAGAAAAAATATGCTTTTTTTTAACTATTCTTAGTATAACATGAAATAATAATAAAGGAATAATTGATAAAAACCATTAGTTTTCAGATGATAAAATATTTACTGCCTGTAATTTTATTAACATGTTCAATATACTTATAGATATGAATATTCTATTTTTTTACATGACTCACCACTCATTTTAACTTGCATAGACTAATCATCATAAATTCTCACCTGACCTAGCTCTTCATTCAAGTCAGAGCTATTGCACTTGGCAAATTCATTGGAATTTTTGTCATACAACTCAGCATCCCAAGTCAGAAACATAGAACCCGTAAACTTAACCATTTCTGAAAATAGATATATGTGTGTGTGTGTGTGTATATTTATATGCATGCTAATTACTGAGTTTTATCAGATTTACCTAAATTTAAGTCAATCACTTATGCCTATACTAAAACATTTTTTCTATGAAATACTTTATATTCTGTAGTTATTCCTACACTTCTCTATTGTTCATATCTCTTAAAAATTTTAAACTACTATATATTCTTATAGTATATAGCAATATCATTTTTTAATTATTTCTACAATTCTAATATCACAGTAAACAATGTAATACACAATTTAGTATTTATTTCAACAGATTTAAAATTATTTTACCAGTAATTGTCAATAGATATTGAATGCAAGACATAATCAAGAAATTGACTATTTGCTCTATTATTTGTAAATAAATTTTATTTTTTTATGAATTCTTTGTATTATTTGAAGTAAACATCTAAAATAACCAAACAATCGTTTCTGACATAGTAATCAAGGTAAGAACTATATAAAATGTATTTCAATATAAAACTTTTTTAAAATGAAGAACTAAGTTATACTTACCAATCGTTACATATAACGAGATTGGAATTACATAGTTGAAAAGAACAACAAAAACAAGAAGATCAGAAAACACTTGTTTCACCTGGAATGATATAAACTGTGTAAGTATATTCATCACATAAAAACATCATTTGAAGAATAATAGTTTCAATACTTGAATGTGATAATTGCAGACACTGTAATATACAGATAAAAATGTAATCTATAATTCTACTCTTATAAGTATTAATATCCTTTTAACATGAGTTTCATTTTTTAAACAATACCAAAAATAATGTTCTGTTACAAGTCTAGAAAAAGATGATGATGCCTCACTTTAGTGACATCTTAAAACAAAACATTGAAAACCAACTGGATAAACTTACACTTAAGACTCCTTTTAAAGGAAGGTACCATGGAGTCCCCATCACGGGATCATTTTGATAAAAGTACTTTAGTCCTGTTGCAACAAAAGCTTCAAGTGCTAACAGCACCAAGAAAATTATCAAAAACCTATTCATTGACCTGAAAAAATTAAACATAAAATATTTCATGTTTTTTTCGAGGAAAGATTTTTAAGTGATGATGCCACTTTTATAGAACTTATTTCTATAATTCACATAAATTCATACGACATCTAAAAAGTTCAAATTAAAAAATATATAAATTTCAATATATGAGTCCATTAAAAAACTAAGTTTTGAGTTATATCTTTGATTATATGTCATGTAATCTAATTAATCAATCTCCAGAGTGCATAATTGTGCCAATGCTTCAAATTACATGTCATGCATTCCTAGAATGGCTTTCAGCTTGTCAAATATGTTAATTCATTAACTCTCCCACTACTAGCTCAGTCACTTCAGCCAAGTTCATGACCCCAAATTGACCTTTAGTTTCCACACTATAATGTCTAATATGTTTTGTGTTTATTCATGAAATCTTGCAAGCTTTTAGTAAACATTATAAGTCTTTTGTATACAAAAATTAGAACTTTTAATGCAATATTTTTACTAAAAATTTCTCTGTGAATAAATAGTGTCAAAGTGTTGACTGCTCCAAATGCAAAGTGATTTTTGTGTTAAGATCTAAAATACTTTTCTTCAACTGAAAGTTATCAAATTTCATTTGCGTGATCTGTAAAACCTTCTAAATAAATTTCAAACAATTTACATTTTGTCTGCTATTTTCTCTACCCTAACTCTATAAGGGTTGGCCAATTTGACTGACTTTGTAACCACCATAAAAGAGATATGAAATAAATCTAAATTACTGTTGCATATCTGCTTGTTTGTTAATTTCCGGTATAAATTCTTTCAGAGGAACTTCAGCGATACAAGTCCTTTATTTATTCAAACTAGTTTATTCTTTCTCAATACAACTTTGTAATACACGGAATTTCCACAGTCACTTTAAACTTAACAACCTTTATAACACACA